CTCGCAAACGGCCCACTTTGGTCTATGGAGTCGTGTAATGTGGACGTCCAGTCACGGCATCACCTACGCGGTAGTGCAGGACCTTAGATAAGTGTGGCTGTTCGTGGCGCAGCGATCACGACGGGTACTAGGACACTGGTCGAATCTATGCTCCGTATGGGACACAGGAGCACAGCCACCACCCGCCAATGAGCCGGTGCCACAAACGTCAACAAGCCTCCCAAGAAAATTTGACGTCACGCTCGGCACGTGTCGGCCGGCTTGGTATACCATCTACTCCGTATGGCGCTCCTATTGGCTTACGAGAGGGAAAACAGCCCGCTTCGATAGTATACGTACTCCGTACATCACTATCCAAAACCATCGATGAAATATCCATACACTCCTACCTAGCCTCCCAGGCTGGCAGGTAATTAAGAGATGATGTAGGATTGGTCGGCCGGCATTCAGCAGAAGACGCAGGTGGGAAGCTTGAATTTCGTTTGAACGAACCCCTGTTCGTTCGGCGCAACGACCAAAAATGAAAAGCCCTTGAGTAAGCAAACATAAGATGTAGATTGGTAGTTCTGGATGACGCGTCTCGGCGTTCGTACGCATAACTGGTTGTGAGGAGTCTTATCAGCTTCTTTTGAATTTCAACGGGCCTGTGTTTCTCTCTTCTCTGGTAGTAGAAAGCACGGGAATACACGTTATACGCATTGAGCCTTCTGGAGCGGTAAAAAGAAGAAACAAGGGCAGAATTAAAAAGTATCGTGCTGTTGTTGTTTCCAGTTGTCGAAATTAGGTTGTGACAAACGGGAAGAGAAACGGTCTAGCCGGTAGGGGAGAGGAACTAGGTTCGACGAGAGAAGGGAGGGAAGGGAAGGTACAGCGGAAGGGAGGGAGGGGGCATTGGATGGAAACGAAAAGTGCCGGGAACCTTTTGAAAATGCAAAAAAAGTAAGGCGATGAGCAGGGACAATCAGAATGTTCGTCAAATCGGCCGGGGGTAAAGAGAAAGCTTTGGGGAGTTTGGGAGCGGTTCCCCGTGCGCTCTTTGAAGCCCCGAGCGCCAGCTTTTGCAACGGCCCTTGACCGTTTGGTGCCCTTTGATGGAGCGGTCATGGACTCATGACTCTTGCAACGGTTTATCCACTGCTTGGATCCTTGCGAAGGGTCGACAGCGGTATATGCCAAAGAATATGTAAGCAAGGTGATTGTTGGATCAAGTTGCTCCGTTCTCGACTTCGCAAGAGGAGTGTATAGCCGGGCGGAATGCAACTCTGCAGTCTGCTACGCTGGAGCGGAGGAGGATCGTCTCGCGTATAGGCACCTGGACCACGTGTGTCGTTGAGAGAGGTGCTAGCCACTGAGGTGCGAGGGTGATCCCCGACTGATTGATAAGGCAGGTTTGGCAGGAAAGGCGGCAGGCCGGCTGGCTCCAGAGTTTTGGGACATCAAAGTTATGGATTATCCATATCTTGAATTGTGCCACTGTGAAATTCCCCAGCCAGTTTGTAACTTCTCGATAATGGCACGCGGGGTCGACCGCCCGCCACAGCTTCTTCTTGATCCCCTTTGATGAGGCTTCTTACAGTTTTATCTACAACGAGGGCGAGGAGTACGAGAAACGCAAAATGCGCGACTGCATGATCTGAAAAGCAAGAAAGATGGGGTCCGGAATCCGGTTCATGTTTCGGGATTGTCTCTACCACGGAATCCATCATCTGTAATCGGTGTCCTTGGCGATGCTTGGCGCACGTTGCGAGTTGAGCCGGGGATCCAGAGAGCAAGAGCAAAGAAGGAGAGTCCAAAAGTCCAAGAGTCCGCCGTGGCTCGGTTTCTGAGTAGAGCACAGGGTACGATACACCGAAGAGAGAGAGAAGTGTGTGAAGAATCAATGGAGGTGAGGCTCGAGCGAGAAGGTTGTTTGCTTGATCTCCATCCGGTAGAATGCCCCATTTCGGCCGTTGAACTTCGGCCCTCGAACAATGCTAGTTTCTGGTTCATTGGACGGTGTGTGTCAATGTGGCGTAGGTTAATTCATCAGAAACTGCTGTTGTAAAGTGCTTGAAGGCTGTAGTCGCATTGAACTTGACTATGGAAAGTGCTTGTCCACCTCTCCTGGGGACCTAGCCTGAGTACGGAGTACAGTGGAGGATTGGGAGGAGGGTTTGGCATGGGAGGCGGCGAGGAGATTGCGAGATTGGACGCGAATATTTGCGAGTGCAACTCTGTCATTCTGTGAGGCTCAGCTGGCCTGTCCGGGCGGAGCGGAGGGAGAGGGTGGCCCTCCACTGGCAGGAGACTTTGTTAGTACCTAGGAGAGCCAGAGGGTGAGGGAGGAAGATTGGAAGAGGAATCCCATCCCATCCCACTTTCCGTCAAGTGTTAGTCGAGTCCCCTGCCCCTCCATCCCTGCGTGTAGGTTAATGCTTATTAGTGTGTATCCACTGTGGCTCAACGGAGCCAATGGGTTCGAGGTTGCTGGTGAGGCGGAGGATGGGCGGTGGTTGTTGTGGCCCTTTGTTGAGAGCGGGAGTCTACAACTAGAGACCGGTCCTGACCGATTGACCGAGGGAGGGACGGGACTTGGGGGAGGCAAAATGGCGAGGTCCGATAGGGCAGAGGCCTCCTTTCCCTGCAGCGAGTTGATGAGGTGTGATATCATTGTTGCTATGTTGGACCTGGACCTGCGGGCGATGGTAACGATGATGATGATGGAAGAGCAGTGACAGCATGTGCATGCATCTGGATTTCAGGATTTCTGGATCCAGATTCCAGACCCCGTACTACGGAGTACGTCCTCGGTACAGAAATGGTGTCGTATTTTGCAGTGTAGCCAAGAAGGCCAAGGGGACGAGGCACGTACCCATTTGCATGGCAAAAGCTTGGTTCATTGGTACAACCCCGGGGCCAGAACTCTGATGTGATGTGGATGCGGATGTGCTGGATTGTCTCTGTTTGAAGCTGTGCTCGTGCTCGCTGCTCGTCCAACCAATGACTCTGGTCTGGATGTGTCCCGCAGTGATGATCGCAGATCCCAAGAGGTCCAGTTTCTCAGAAAACAGGAGACGACGATGCAAATAGCAACAAATGAGAAGAGAAGCTGGGGATGACGAAGTATCAGGAGTGGGATAGACAAAGAGGCAATGGGGGAAAAAGCTGAGGCTTAGTGACCATGGTGACCTTGGGAGATGGAGAAATTGTGGGCGCGCCACACCAGCCTGAGGCACATGACCAGCGGCCTCTTACTGGATCTGGCTGATTCACGGTTCATCCACCCAAGACATTTTGCACCAAGGCGATTGGCCCCAGACCAGCCAGGCGCGGTGACAGGGAGTCCCTGCTTTGCTTGTTTCCCAGCGGGCCCTGCCATGCCTGCTTGTTTTGCGTATCAGAGAGACAGAGACGGTGAATACGTAACTATCTCAAGACCAGAGAGGATGGAAGGTGCAAGAGCGTCCTTGCAGCGGTACACTTCCCCGTTCCCGCCGTCCCAACGTCTCGGAGGTACCTGCTTGCTCGCCGCGGCAAGGTTCCATTGCACCTACCGTCACCCGTGCTACCTTCCCTCTCCTAAGGTAAGGTAAGGTATCGGTGTCTACGGAGTACGTACTTACGCAACTACGCCAGAGCTAATGAAAGGGTACGTCTCTTCCCGGTCCGTGTCTGTCGCCTGCCCGGGGACGTTGCCTCTACCTTATCCCCCCCATGTCTATCTCTTAGTCGATTCGACCTTTAAAGCATCCCTCATCTGTCGCCGTCCGACCACATTCCCCTTCTAGTCTTCTTCTCTCCTTGTCCGTACTTATTCTCCTCTCGAAGCTTGTCTTCACTTTTGTGTCTCCAAGAAACTTCATTGTGTGCCATCGCCAAAAAAACACTCTACTCTTCCCCAAAGAAACCCGCGCTCCAGCCGAGACACGAGTGTCCGGTCATCTATTTCGATGAAGAAAGCCTCCTCTGATCCCCCCAATATAGACACCATACGCTCTGGCGCAGCAGGATCAGCGCATGGCGTCCGTCGCAGCTCCTCGAACCGATCCCACGGCAATTCGGCAAATATAGTCACCGACTCAATAGACTTGTCCAGCAAGTCTTCTCTTCCCGCTACCCAGCGCAACAACACGTTCGACACGACGGCTTCCACTACCAATAGCAGTAATGGCGTCGCCAACGGCGTCTCCTCTCACATCACCAGCTCCTCTGCGAGCAACAACCTCACCCTCACATACCCGGACGACATCAATGAAAAATCAAGTCCCCGCGACCTCGAGGATGTCGCTATATCTTCGAAAACTTCGAGGCAGGGGGCTGTCGTAGATGAGGAGGGTGCTTTGAAGAAAAACAAAACTCCCGAACAGAAGCAGAAATCTGGCGTCTTTGCTCGCTTCTACCTCACGTGTAAGATGATCCTATTCCACAGCTGGGTCAACGTGCTCCTCGTTTTCGTCCCCGTCGGCATCATTACAAAAGCCCTCGGTGTGAGCCCCGGCATCGTCTTCGCAATGAATGCCATCGCCATTATTCCACTCGCCGGCCTGCTCAGCCACGCCACCGAGTCCGTCGCCAGCAAGCTAGGTGACACCATTGGCGCCCTCTTGAACGTGACTTTCGGCAATGCCGTCGAGTTGATTATCTTGTAAGTTCTGCCCACCCTCTATTGCCATTCCTCCCCCCAAACCACTTTACGAGGTAGTTTTGGAGAGGCTCGCGGTGGGGAATCCCAAAGATCCAAATGAATTGCGGCTTGTCTTGGCACCTGTCTTGGCCAAGCCGCTCACTGGATCTTGGCCCTGAATATCTCGAACCTTACAACCCTCTGAATGTCTTGGCGCAGTCTTGGCTAATGCTTATTTTTCCAATCCAGCATGTATGTTCCTACCCTTCTGCGGGTGACAAAGACGAGAGAGAGACGAGAAGTCTACACCAAAAGACCCCATCACATCAATCAAGTCCCAAATCATGCAGTTTTCTTCTTCCAACGTGAAATCGCAGCCTACACATCGGTTGTGTTATTTTTCAGCGTATACTTTATTGAGTTTTGCTGACATGTACATCTCTTGTGGCTCTTCAGCATCGCGCTTGTCAAGGTATGACACTCCAATACGCAATACCAGCGAGCTTGCCAGCTGACTCTGATCCAGGATGAAATTCGCATTGTCCAGGCATCCCTTCTAGGCTCTATTTTGGCCAACCTGTTGCTCATTTTGGGCATGTGCTTCTTCCTCGGTGGCCTGCGTTTCCGAGAGCAGGTGAGTTGAATTGGCTCTGCTTGACGAAAAGAGTGTTGTACTGATACAGTCTTAGATTTACAACAGCACCGTCACGCAGATGAGTGCTTGTCTGCTTAGCTTGAGTGTTATCAGTTTGGTGCTTCCTGTGAGTTTGCTGGAGCCACGCAGCAGCCTATCATGAAACTAATCAGTCACCCAGACTGCTTTCCACGCTTCGTTCCAAAACACCTTCAAGGCCGAGGATGAGACCCTCAAGATCAGCCGTGGTACCAGTGTGGTGAGTATTGTATGATATATTACCCAGGTAACGATGACTAACTTCATCCAGGTCCTTCTGTTGGTGTACATTTTGTATCTCCTGTTCCAGTTGAAGTCTCATGCCTACATGTACGAGTCTACACCGCAACACATCGTGGACGCTGAGTCCGCCCCTGGTCCGGCCATTGGGTTCTTCGACTCTTCCAGTTCTGAGGACAGCTCCGACTCCGATTCCGATTCAGACGGCTCCGACAGCTCTGGAGGTACTGTACGCAAGACGATGAGAAAGGTCATGCGCGCCGGTAGAAGGCGCAAGTCTAGCGTGGTTTCTGTCAACACTGACGGTCTCCCCCGAACCCGTAATTCCTCTATCGGTACAGCTCACGGCTCCGAAGGATCCGCCAGTCGTCCAGCCATCCCTCGCTTCAACTCTGTCGGTAGCGATGAGGCTGTTGAGGAAGACAGGTCTCGCAAGCACAGAAAACATCGCAGACGTCATCACAAGCACCAGAAGAAGTCCAAGAAATCCTCCCGGAACAACCTTGTCGATGTTGAAGGCCATGAGCCTTTGACTAGCAACACTCAAGCTGGTGAACCTCGCCGCCTGGACTTTGCCGATCAGCCTGCTGGTCCCTCAGAGCCAATCGATACTACTCAAGCCCCCAAGACTCGCCCGGTGTCTGGCCTTCGCGGGCTGTCGATTAAGAACTTCGCCCCCGCTGTCTTTACCACGCCCGACGAGACCCCATCGGCGGGTCCCGCTGCCCCGGCCGGTCCAGTTCCCCGGGTCCGCTTCGGTATCCGCCGCACCAACTCTTTGCCCGACCGTCTGAACCAGTATGGAAACGTCCGCGCCCCCGGAGGAGTTTTCCCCGCCCAGATCCCTGGCGTTGCCACTGTCAATAGCGGCCTTAGTGCTAAGGACGAGACTGCCGATAACGATCACTTGTCCCGCACTGCAGCCGTCCTGCTCCTGCTCTTCTCCACCGCCCTTGTCGCCGTCTGCGCCGAGTTTCTCGTCGACTCCATTAACGAGGTTGTCAAGACGAGTCCTCTTGGCGAGATCTTCATCGGTCTCATCATCCTCCCCATTGTTGGCAACGCAGCAGAGCACGTTACTGCCGTCACTGTCGCTATGAAGAACAAGATGGACTTGGCCATTGGTGTTGCCGTCGGTAGTTCCATCCAGATCGCTCTGTTCATCACGCCCATTGTCGTCATCATCGGTTGGGCCATGGATCGCGACATGTCGTTGTACTTCACACTGTTCGAGACGGTCTGCCTGTTCGTTTCAGCTTTCATTGTCAACTTCCTGGTACTCGACGGAAGGAGTAACTACCTCGAGGGTGCTTTATTGTGTGCAACATACATCATTATCGCTGTGGTTGCCTTCTTCTACCCCAATTCGGACGAGGCGAGCTCCTTCGGCGCCTAAAACCTTGGAGTTTAAGGTCACAGTATAGGACATGGTCCTTTTTGTATGCGGCTGACCAAATGGGGAGGAGTGGTTGTTGGTGAAGAACAACTTACGACGCTTCATGAACTTTTCTTTCTACTTTGCTGAAGTGGTATGTTCTGTATACCACGCGGCCTTTTTACAAGGGGATGATTTAGGCTTGGGGTTATATTTTTCTTGCACAAGTTTGTTGCAATTTCAAACTCTCGGTGGATGACGCACACAACTAGTTGCTTTGGTTCACCGTCTTCCGTACGGAACAGGCCCTTGGGTGTTGAATATATCACACTTCACACCATGCATCATGAAATACGTAATACTATCGATTGTGACATGTCATTTTCTCCACTCTCGAATACTCTCAAGTCGTATTCTTGGAATATTTTATTCTTTTCTCACGGCACATGTTCACGCGGCTCTTCATGCTCAACATCACATTGACTTCTCCTCTCTTGCCGTTGGGTCGAAGGGCCGAGAAGGAGTCAGGATAGTGAGAAGGTACGGTGGGCAAGGTTGGCGACGAAGCGATTTGCCGCCCACTACCCTTTCCTCTCCTTTTCTTACTCTTGGCATAGTCACATATCTAGAGAACATGAGTAAGTATATGGATGGTACACGATTTTGCAGAGATGGCTAGTTGAACCAGTCACCATTTTCAAATGGCTCGTTTGAGCTTTGGCAGCTTCTGGTCGTCTCCCATGATTCCGTGGGAATTTATCTCGATACGTCACAGAATGGCGGGGTGGTATGGCAAAGTCGGGACCACTATAGTGACTGGCTGGCTTTGTCTGTATATTACGCTCGGTATAGGACGCGATTGAAGCCGGAGGAGGTAAGCCAGTATTGATATTACTTATGTCCTTAGGAAAGTCATAGCTGGGAGGATCACTGATGATGTGTGGCATGTCCCTACACGCGAGGAGCTTGGGGATGCACTCTTTCTATACGATCCCAACTACGATCTATTTGCCGTGCGCTGGCATCGCGGGCGCGACTCGTTTATGGGTATCTTTTTTGTCGGTAATTATTCCGACTCCGAGTTCCCTCCCGGTATCGAGCATCTTCAATGGGCCTTTGACGTGTCAAAGCATCGACTCTCAATGCTGCATCCAGCCCTCCACAAGATGATAGTAGCCTTGCATATAACCTACCTCACGTAGTTAAGGTTGGGGGGATAGGTGTAGTAGATTGACGATGACAGCAATCCATCCAAGTCTGGGGCCAAGAGCCTGTTTAGTCAGCAACGGAGTGATATCAGGTATGGGATCGTATTTGTACTCTGCTGGTCCCCGAGAACGTGACTTTGATTTACTTAGATGTAGAAACCAATGAAACCACGCGGAGGAAAACCGCAGCGTCTCGACACCTTGTCGGGCCATCCATTGGTGACATGGTTCGGTGACATTGAGGGGATGGAAGTTTCGGCCCACTGGGTAAGCTTAAAAAGCTAGCTGCGCCTGTTGCCCCCACACCAGTTCCGCCTGATTGCGCCGGATGATGATTAGGGTACCTATACCATCTACTCCGTAGCAGTAGGTCGGCGGCCTCCTTGACGCCGCCGCCGAGGCTGGTATTCCATTCCTTGTTTTGTCAGTACGTGTTGGTCTGGGTAAAGAGAGTAAAAAAGCCGTTGGTCGCACAAGAGACTTCTTTTTGTTGCTATTGTCCACTTGGTAAGGGTGGCGCATTGGCGCATGTAGCTTTGTAAATGGCAAGGTAAAGAGAAGACAAAGTGCAAGCACCTCGGGGCGTCGAATGATACCATAAACTTACCTAAGGTCAGGTACCTAGAAAGGTACAGAAACACTTCAAACGCAGGGAGCTCATTGGGGCGTCGTTAATAGTGTACTTGTTGCTGCGGGGGAAGATGTAGCTGCCAGCGCCCTGCAGCTATCGCCAGAGAAAAATGGATCCCAGCTGCCTATTGCGGACAGCTCCCAAAGTTCCACCCATCATGGTACTCCGTCCTCTCATCATCACTGCCCTGGTGAGCCAGTCAGCCTAGAATCCCGTCATCTGCTACCGCCCGAAGGAAACACAGCCACCTTTATTCTTCTTCATATCAACGCCTCATCCGCCCCCCGTCGTGCATCACCGCTGCATTTCACCTACATCACCCGCGACGCTAGACATCTTTCCCATACCTGCAACATCTTGCACATTTGCCAATCACTCCAATTACACGGGTCCCATTGTTTCAGATTTCCCACTGCTCTGCTCAAACTCAAGCTCAATTCCGACGTCAAGGCGCCCACACTCCCTGATCTGCCGCAACATCTATTATCCCTCCGACTCACTCCCACTGTTCCGCAAACACAACGGACCACGAAAGATCAGACACCAGACGAACTGCATAAAAAGCTCCAAAACCTTCTTCCCAACCCCCCTTTTTCCTGAAGATGTGTTTCGGCAGCAAGGCCGACAAGGATGACACTCCTGCCCCGCGTCCCGCGCAACGTCCTCCTTCACTACAGCAGCAAGATACCAAGATGACGAGCAGCAATCAGCAGCAGCAGCCCCAATACGCGCCGCCGGCTGGTCCGCCTCCGGGACAGCATTCGGCCCAACAGCAGTATGCTCCTCCTCCCGGCCCGCCTCCGAGTCAGTCGTACGCCGCCCCGAATGGTCCGCCGCCAGGCCGTGCTGATGAATTTGCGCCTCCTTCGGGTCCTCCTCCATCTCATGGAGGGTATGCGCCGCCATCTGGACCTCCTCCCTCACATCAGCAGAGTGGGTATGCGCCGCCTCCGGGACCTCCGCCCGCACGCAATGACTATACTGCTCCTCCCCAGGGACCTCCGCCGTCCCACAAAGATTACACGGCTCCTCCCCCTGGTCCCCCGCCATCGGACTCGAAAAAACACGACTGGGAGACGGCGGTTCCCGACACCACCCTCTTCCCACCGCCTCCGGCCTTCTTCAGCGGGTTTGATCGTTCCCCTGCGAACAACTCTACGGAACAGGAGTCTGAAGCTGGTGAAGCTTGGGTGGCGCAGTACCCTCTCGTCAAGCCCATCGACCTTGACGCCAGTGCTTTGGAAGCTTTGCGCACGCACAGGATATGGCTTCTACAGCCTCAAGGATTCCGCGGCACGATGGCCCAGCCCGTCTCGGGTAAGTGGGAGGTCACGACGCAAAGGAACGCACCTGACAGCACCATCATCGGCTACCCGCCTCTATACTCGGTCAAGCACAATTCGCCTCTCGCCACCGGCAAACCCTTCAAGGTCTATTATGAAGTTAAGATCCGTGGATCAGCAAGTGAGGTAGACCTTGCCCTTGGCTTCACCGCGCTACCGTACCCCAACTTCCGTCTCCCTGGATGGCATCGCGGTAGTCTTGGTGTTCACGGCGACGACGGGCACAAGTACATCAATGACAGATGGGGCGGCAAGTCTTTCACAACACCCTTCCAACCCGGCGAGACGCTGGGTATCGGCATGTCCTTTACGGCTCAGGGCGGCAGGATGAGCGTTGAGATCTTCTTCACGCGAGACGGCAGACTGGCAGGGAGCTGGAACCTGCATGAGGAGGGTGACTCTGAGCAGGATTTGCCGGTTAACGGTTTGGAGGGATACCATGATCTGAGTTGTGCCATTGGCACATTCTCCAAAAACGAGTACGATATCATCTTTGATCCGAAGTTGTGGAAGTACAGGTCTTGATAGCGGGCGGGCTTGGTTTGCGGTTGAATAGGGGGTTTCGGTAAAGATGGACTGGGTTAGCGGTCACATGCTGCAATCAGGACCGTCCATTCAGTACTTTTCATGACATGATTCCAATTTTTTTTTTACAAATGTATATAGCGAACTTCAAATCTTTGCTTTGATATCAACCTCTTTCCACCACGGGTACGCCGTCGGCGCATCCTTCTCCATAGTCGCCTCGAACCGCGGCGCTCTCTTTTGCATAAAACTCTCCATCCCCTCCTTACTATCCTTCCCGCTAAACAGGTCAAAGAATATTTTACTCTCCAGCAGGTGCGCCTCTTCCGGGCTCGCCGGCGACCTCAGAATCATATCCCGCATCACCCTCACGGCCACGGTACTCACATTCGCAGCGACGTCCTCGGCGATCGCCAGCGCGCGCGGCAAGACCTCGTCCGGCGCGACGACCTCGCTGAATAAGTTGCGCAGGAGCGGGCTCGTGGCGGGGTAGACCCCTCCCGTGGTACAGAGATGCAGCGCTGGGCCGGCGCCGATGAGGCGCGGGAGGTAAAACGACGAGCAGGCCTCCATGTTGAACCCGCGCCGACCGAAAACGAAGCCGATTTTCGCGTCGCGGGAGACGATGCGGATGGAGGCGGGGAGGGCCATTGTGATGCCCACGCCGACGGCGGAGCCGTTTATTGCGGCGATGATGGGTTTCGAGCAGTTGTGCATTGCGAGGGCGACGAGGCCTCCCGTGTCGCGGTGGGCGTCGCGGTGGGAGGGGAGGCGGACGCGGTTGTGGAGGTCCATTCCTGCGCAGAAGGTTTTGTTGGAGGGGTCTGAGCCGGTGAGGACGATGGCTTTTACGCGGGGGTCGGTGGAGAGGAGGGTGTAGGCTTTTGCTAGGGAGGATGCCATTTCGTCTGTGAAGGCGTTGCGGGCGGAGGGGCGGTTGAGGGTGAGGATTATCACGGGGGTTGGGGTCGGGGAGGAGGCGGGGTGGTGAGAGAGGGTTATTTGGGGGAGGGAGAGGGTGTTGTAGGATGATGGGAGGGTGGACATTGTGATTGATGACTTCTTGGAGGTTTTGGAGTTTTGGTTGATGTGTGTTGGATGTTTGTGGTGATGAGGTTTGTGGTGATGGGATATGTGGTTTTTGATGGAGGTTGAGTTATTCAGAATGACAAGATTGTCGAGGATGGAGGTGGGGGACAATATAGATGCAAGTGAACTTGACGTGGACGTGCTTTGCCGCCGTCTTTGGGTCTGAGGTCGAAGGTTGGAGATGGAGGGGAACAGCGCTTACAACCGGTACCGAGGTCCGGAATGGTAGAGTGATCAACGTCCATGCGGAGCGGCCCGGCGTGTATCAGGGACTGTCTTGGTTGTTAATTGCTGTCAGAAACTTGGAGAGTCTGATATATGAATTAGATCAAGCTAATTATTCACTATGAAGCTGATGAACCGGATCATGACCAAGTTCCCGAGAGATGCGGTCCTGAGGTCGAGCGAAGGCGCAGCTTCTCACCGAGGCTCACCGAGTATAGGTACTTCAACGACGAGGTGGAATGATAAGAACGCGATAAGAGAGCGATGCCTAGGATAAGGTAATCAGACAGTCTTCGCCACCGTGCATCATGATCTTGGCACAGTACAGCTGACTCAACCGACCACTTGCGCATTGTCGACGCTCTCCCGTTTCAACCAAAGACGCATTGTAAGGCATTGTTTGCAGAGAACTCTAGAAAGGCATGGTCTATGATTGGGATGCCCACGAGAAGCTATGTTTTCAGCTCTACATCAATGAGAAGAGGTCCCTCGAGGACATCATGGTGTACCTCAAAATGCACCATGACTTTGCGCCCTGGTCAGTCTTGAGTCTCTCCTTATCCCCCAGTGTATTCGTGGTTCCTCTCGCCTGCCGGACTTTCCGATCCACACCCGGCAAACTTACACCGTCCCACAACGGAACCGGGGCCGGGGCTGGCGTCGAATCCGGGAGTAAAGCAAAGCTGTGGGACTACGCAAGTTGCTTGCTCACACACACGTTACAGCAAACGAGCCTTCCAGACTCAGTTCCGCAAGTGGGATTTCCCGTCCAAGCAGAACCCGGCGCACAAGAACGGCCGGCTGGTCGCGCGCGTCAAGGAGCTGTGGGAGCGGAACCTGTCGCAGGGGGAGATGCTGGCCGTGCTGAGGGAGGATGGGTTCGATATCAAGAAGCGCGAGCTGATTCGCGTGAGGACGAAGAATCGGTGGCTTTTGAAGGCTGCGAATGGGGAGCGGTCTAAGGAGGGCAATGGGGAAGAGGAGGAGGTGACGGGGTCTGGTCGGCGGGAAGCGCCTGTGGTTACTATCGACGACGGCTTTGGGAGCCGGGGTGGTGCGGGCGTCGTGACGCCTGGTACTTTTACGGGTCGGGAGATGCTCGGGTCGCCACTTACCGGCGAGGGCGAGGGCGAGGACGAGGACGAGGACGAGGACGTCGGCGCGGTAAGAGACAAGGAGAGCATCAGTAACAGCAATGGCAACAACAGGAGGAAGAGGCGGCGGCTGCGAGCCTGGGAGGCTGCATCGTCCCATGATGTACAACACCCCATCGCCCCGCGCTTCCCTTCGGAGACCACGCTCGACGACGCAAAAGCCATCCTCGGGCTGGCGGCGGACGTATACCGTCAGATGCGGGTCACATTTGCGCGGCTCTGCGAGGAGGCAGGCATCGTCAAGAAGACGATTGCCGGGCCGGAGAGGTGGGAGGCCGTTAAAGCCCGGCTTGTGAGGGAGACGCCGCGGCTGAGGGCGGCGATGTGGGACGACGACGAGTCTGCCGATGTAAGCGGCAACAGCAGCCACAACCACGAGGCAAAAAAGCTGGCGCTAGACGTTATATGTACGGACATCACGAAGCGGGCGCGGACGCTGGAGAAGCGGCTCACGCTCGCCGATGCGAAGAATATCTTGGGTGTCAACCCGGAGGAGGCGAGGGATCTCCGCGCTGCGTTTGAGAGGATATTGAAGCGGGAGGGGCTCAGTTGCAAGTCTGAGGCTGGGCCGGCGCAGTGGAAGGAGCTGAAGGCGCAGTGGGAGGCTGGATCGGAGCTGGTACGCCGGATTCTCGCTGCGGCGGGGGAAGAAGGAGACGGTGGTGCTTCTTCAGTGCATGCTCACGCTCAGGCTGAAAAGGTGCGGGCTTTGGATGTTATTGCGAAGGATGTGATGAAGAGGTTGAGGGATGATGTCTCGAGGCGAGAGCAGCCACGGAAACGAGGAGTCACGAAACAGGCGCAGCTAGCTCGCGACAACGCAAGACAGCAAGGGGATGTCCAGGCGAACGACGTCCAGGTCCAGTCCGCACAGCCAGAACTGGTTGATGCTTTAGAAGACCAGGATGACTTGAGCGGCGGCCAGTACGTTGATGCCAGCCAGGTATCCGTACCGCCGTCCATGGGACTCGTTCCCGGCTCGGGGGCAAGCCAGCAGCCGCAGATGCTCATGCCCACCGTGTCGATGCAAGTCCAGGCCGCCGCGGCCGCCGACCCGATGGGCCACTCCGCGGCGCGGATCCTCTCGTCGGCGCTTCTGGGGCAGGCGGACATGGGACTAGAGTCTCACCACATGGGCTCGTCTCTCTTGTTAGCGGCCGACGCGCAGGCGGCGTTCGTAGACCAGCAATACGCGCAGCAGTATGCCGTAGCTGCCGCCGCCGCAGCACAGCAGCAGCAGCAACAGCAACCACAACAACCCGTCTTCCACGCGCCGCCGTCACCTCTACCACAGCACCAGCACCCGCAGCCGCCGTCTACCATGAGCATAGCCGTCTACCTACGCCTCCACCCTTCCTCCACGTTTGTGGCTACCACGACCATCTGGATCGCGACCCTGAGCTCGCATTCCGTGCAGGAGCTGCGGCACGCGGCGGCGAGTAAGTTCCCGGGGGCGATTTGTCTACGGCTGGAAGGAGTGTTGAAGGACGGCAAGGGCGGGGAGATGCCGTTGGCGATTGAGCAGGACGGGGAGCTTGCTGCGTATTTGGCGCATTTGAGGAGTGCTGCTGGGGGGCTTGGGACGCCGACGTTTAATGTGCAGCTTATTCCTGGATGGAAGACTTAATGTAAGGTATGTATGGGAGACTATGTGAGGTATCTAGAGTAACGTAAGTAGGGAGGTTTCCCCCTTGGGTGCATGTTTGGGTATAGCGAGGTGTAAGGAACTGTATGATTGGACGTATTGTACATTATTTCTGGAAATCTACCTTAGTTGGTGAGATATGTCATTCACCGTGGAGGGTTTCATGCTGATGCCGGATACGGCAAAGTAGAATCGACGCCGAGAGAGTCGACGGCAAGTGTATCGGAAGTCTCGGGCGAATCCCAAGCCATAAACAGTCAGCCATTGCATGTTGTTCATGTGTCGTGCACCCAAGTGACCTAATGCATGGGTGTCTCCGACTTCGCCAGCACGCCATCGATCCCATTAGCCAGAGTGATCCTCGGCCTTGGATAAGCGGACGGAAGGGGGGAGCCACACGGTGAAGAAGTGGAGTTCCACACCGGCGCGGGCATACCACGGTACTACGGCAGTCCCACCGCACAAACCTTCCCCGCTTCCGGACCGGCCAATCCTTATCCCCGATAGGCTCGCAGGGTGCACTTTCTGCTCCAGTGCTGCTGAGGTGCTCCAGTTCCATTGCTGCAGGCGGCTTGCATGGATTCCATTTCGCCATCCGAGCTCCAGAAGTGCTCAGACGGATGCAGCTCCACCCAGCTACAAATAATCTTTACCTGCACCTCTATTCGCAGTCGTTCGCCCGCGTACGCACACTCCTCCAACGAAACCACCCACCCCCTCCTCTCGACTTCTCCCAGAGCTCCGAACCCGGATGGCTCGAAGCTTGCTTCTTCAACTTCTGATCAATTGAAGATTGTGCAGCAATTCGCACCGCTTCCTCGACATCCCTAGTCCATCAATACCACCACCGAGTCGAACATAGGCGCAATGGCGCATATCAGAGCTCGAGCTCCCCAAGCAGCTCTGCAAGGTCTCAGGGCCGCAAGCCCGGCCCCGCGCCGGCGATGCGTCGCTCTCGCTAGTGGTGCTACCGCGCGGCACATGTCCAATGAGCGCGGCACGCCGAACAACACCGAGGAGAAGCAGAAGGGCCGGACGTTCCAGGGCCAAGTCGTCGGCAGCATCACCCAGCGTCTGGCGCGCGAGAAGGCGGAGCGGGAGAGATTCGCTGCCGAGCGGGAGAAGACGGGGAATAGCAGGAATCTGGCGTACACTTTCGGTAAGTCCTGATGTTCCGAGGCGGCGAGACGTTGCAAGAAGACTTGTCGCAGTAGCTAATGCGCTGTTGCGTGCTGGCAGTGCTACTCACCACAATGGGAGTATCGTACTACCTAGGCACCCTCGTGCCCCCGAGCCCCAGCGAAGAGTCGACCCTGCCGCTAGCCAAGACGATCGCGCCAGTCCACAAGCTCAACAAGGAGAACCTCGAAGCCGCCTGGGCCGACTTTGTCAGCATCGTCGGCAAGGAGCACGTCAGCACCACGAAGGTCGACCTCGAACACCACGCCAACTCAGAGTGGTCCTCGCACTCGGCCAAGCCCGACGAGCGCCCGTTCTGCGTCGTCTTCCCCAGCACCACCGAGGAGGTCTCGGAGATCATGAAGATCTGCCACCAGCGGCGCATCCCCGTCGTCGGCTACAGCGGCGGCACCAGTCTCGAGGGCCACTTCACGCCCACCCGCGGCGGCATCTCGATCGATTTCGGACGCATGAACAAGGTCCTGAAGCTGCACCAGGAGGACCTCGACGTTGTGGTGCAGCCCGCCGTCGGGTGGGAATCGCTCAACGACCAGCTGGCGCAGACGGGCCTCTTCTTCCCGCCGGACCCGGGCCCGGGAGCCATGATTGGCGGCATGATTGGCACCGGATGCAGCGGCACCAACGCCTACCGCTACGGCACCATGCGCGAGTGGGTGCTGAGTCTGACGGTCGTGCTGGCCGATGGCACCATCATAAAGACGCGGCAGCGCCCGCGCAAGAGCTCCGCCGGCTACGACCTCACCAAGCTCTTCATCGGCTCCGAGGGCACCCTGGGCCTCGTGACGGAGGCCACCCTGAAAGTCACGACGAAGCCCGCGTCCACCTCGGTCGCCGTGTCGGCGTTCCCGACGATCCGTGACGCGGCCAACTGCGTCGCCAAGGTCGTCGCCGCCGGCATCCCCGTCGCGGCGGTCGAGATCCTGGACGACCTGCAGATGCAGTGCATCAACAAGGCCGGCATGACGAGCAAGGCGTGGGCCGAGGCGCCGACGCTGTTTTTCAAGTTTGCCGGCACGGAGACGGGCGTCAAGGAGCAGGTGGCGCTGGTGAAGCAGCTCGCGAGCAAGACGGGCAGCAAGACGTTTGATTTCGCCAAGAACGAGGAGGAGCAGCAGGAGCTTTGGAGCGCGAGGAAGGAGGCGCTGTGGAGCACGATGGCGGTTCGGCGCGAGGGGGATCACGTCTGGACTGGCGACGTTGCGGTGCCGACGAGCCGGTTGCCTGACATTATTGAGGAGACCAAGGAGGCCATGGCCAAGAGTGGGCTTTTTGGCACCATTGTTGGGCATGTTGGGGATGGAAACTTCCACAGTGAGTACTTTTTTGGGGCTTAGGCATGGGGGACGCGCATGTTGTTATGAAGGAGAGGGAGAGTGCTAACTTTTGGCGTCAGCCATTCTGCTTTACAACGACCAGGAGCGCAAGAGGGCTGAGCACCTGGTTCACAACATGGTCAAGAGAGCCGTCGAGATGGAGGGCACCGTCACGGTATGTTGTCGTCAGATCTCTGGCTGGTTATTGAAGTTTGCAAGATTCGCTAACATGACTGATAGGGTGAGCACGGCGTCGGACTCGTCAAGAGAGATTACCTCCCCCACGAGCTGGGCGAGTCTACCGTTGATACCATGAGACAGGTGAGTTCCTCCCTTTCTTGATGCTTGTTGTTGCTTGGGAATTACGTGCTGACCCGACGCTCCGAACAGATCAAGAAAGCTCTTGACCCCCTCTGCCTGCTCAACTGCGATAAGATCGTCAGAGTGCAGCCGCCCAAGGCCGGCGAGGTGAGCGAGTGGTAAAGCGGGGGCGAGGTCGAGGCAGGTTTCTGATTCTAGAGCCTGAGCTTCGGTGTAAGATGAATAGCGGGGACAGAGAGGAAGCAGAACCTAGATGGCATTATTAAACACTTGTATATATACATCTCCCTGATGCGTCCGGTTTGAACCAAAGTAGCTTCAGCTGGCGCGCAATTGACAAGCACTTTTTTTTAATAAAAAAAAATGAAATGGGTTTCGTTCGTCCTGAGACTTGTCGTTGGTGGTTTGGCTAAATGATTGTGTTCCATGTTTCGCGGCTGGTGCAAGGCGCATTCACAACAACGTGACGAAAAGAAAGGAAAGTAACTTCAACATTGCAAAAGAAAGTCAAGATCATGATCGCTCAATGCTTTCTGCATGCATTTATGGCTAGAAATTTGTCAAAAAAGCGAAAAATGAAAGGGACGAGACTCGAACTCGCGCGGGTTGCCCCACCAGGAAACAGATGTTAAGCTGACCTTAACCTGGCGCCATAACCAACTCGGCCACCCTTCCGTGATTACTGATGACAAGGAAGGCAGAAAGCGCTTCCATATAGGTCAGAACCAAAATTTTCTGGGTCACTTCGTCTTCATCCGGGTCTAGACATCAATGTCGACTTTTCGCTAATTCATCCTCATCGCTCTACGCTGCAGCCTAAAAGCAAAAATTTACCTTTTACAGATTAGGGCCGGGTTGGTGAGGCGCTCCTTTTGGGAAGGAGAATAGTTGCGTTCGAACCGTGTAGTTGCTACGTTTGATTGGTGTTTTCTGCGGGCTAGGGGCCGGTATGTGTATACGCACATCACTCGAAAAGGTTTTGATTTTGGAAAAGGATAATAATAGGTGGAATATCAAAACGTAAACTCTCAGGTTATACAGCGGACGGAACTAGGGTGACAAGCGACGAAGCTTGGATGAAGCCTGATTTCAGGAGTGATGTAAAATCTTTACCAACCTAAGAAAGAGGTGAAATTGGGCATTTTTTACTTAATCACTCGGCCATCGCATCGAGACCGTCATTACTTGTTCAGTCGCGTGGTTGACCAATATTCACGGAAGACGGAAGCTACAAGACATCAGAGTGCCGACCTCGAAAGTGAGATTTCCTGCTGAGGGAACATCGTTTCTTGTAATTGAGGGGCTATCTGTTGTTACATTTACACGTTCTACTTTTCTATTCCTGCAAACTCGCCACGACATCATCGCAGCGCCCGCACAACGTCTCCTCCTTGGGCGCGATATACCGCCAGCAACGCGGGCACTTGTGCTCGTTCGGCGGCAGCACCGAGACCGTTCCCTTGGCGCCATTGACCTCGAATACCTCGTCGTACCGCCACTCGGGCTGATTGGGGATCTCCTTGTTGGTCTCTACCGAGGACACGACGAACATTGCCTCCAGCTCCTCTCCGTACTTGGCCAGCACGCCAACGACTGCTTGATCCTCGGTCGTGACAACCACAGAAGACTGCAGCGACGACCCGAGGACCTTGGCCGCGCGGCCCTTTTCGAGGGCGGCCTTGACGGCGCCCTGGACGGACATCAGAACGGGAAGGTCCTTGCGGAGGGAAGCCTCCCCGATGGCCGAGGGCGCTCTGCTGTGGACGGGCGCGTCGTAGGGGGTGTGCAAGGGATGAAGGATGCTGCTGTCGGCCTTGATGTACTCGGGCCGGTGATCCCACGCCTCCTCGACCAGGAGCGGCGTCATGGGCGACAGCATGCGGAGGAAGCCGAGGAAGATGGGCTCCAGCACGCCGCCGCCGTCGCCGCAGTAGAGGCGGTCCTTCATCGCCTCGAGGTAGAAGGCGGACAGGTCATTAGCCACCCAGCGGTTGAGGGCGCTGAAGGCCTTGTAGAACTCGTGTGCGGCGAACGCCTTTTCGACTTCCGCCATGACGTCGCGTAGCTGGATGAGAGCGATGTGGTCCAGCGTCGTCGTGGGCGCGGTTCGGGCCGACTCGTGCATCGAACCCGTCAGCATCTTGATGATTGTGCGGTACTTGACCAGCACGGTGTGGACAGACTTGAGGACCGCCTGGCCGATGGCTACGTCTTTGGTGTACTCTGAGCTGGCGGCCCAGAGACGGAGGGCGTCTGGGCCCAGGGCCTCGTAGGTTGGGGCGGCGCCGGCTACCTTGGCCTTGCCTCTGACCTTAATCGGCGGCAGCAGGGTGCCGTCCATGATCTGGCCGGGTAAAATGGTGTTTCCGATCGACTTTGACATCTTCTTGCCAGTGTGATCTAGCGTGAAGCCGTGGGTGATGAGGGTCTTGAAGGGGGACTTCGGTTGTGTATGGGATGCTCCATCATTCTCGGCCCTTTGCGCGGCGACGTACGAAAGCAAGCTTGACTGAAACCAGCCGCGGTGCTGGTCAGATCCTTCGAGGTAGACGTCGGCTTGACCCTTGCTCTCTGTCCAACTGCTTCCGCTGTCGAACCAGACATCCATTGTGTCGGTACCACGTCTGTAGCTTCCTTCCAAAGACGGCGCAACCCAAGCGGGTTCATCGGCGGCATCAGAGAACCAGGCGTCAATACCACGCTTCTGGATGACCGAGATGATGTGGTCGACTGATTCCTCCGTCACTACGGCGTCTCCATTGGCATCATACAAAGCGGGGATGGGAACGCCCCAGGCACGCTGGCGAGAAATGCACCACTCACTACGACCAACAACGAAGCTTTCAAGGCGGTTGCGGCCGGTTGATGGTACAAACTTGACTTCCTTCAGGGCGTTGAGAGCGTCATCCTTGATGTTACCGACATCAGCGAACCATTGAGCCGTCGACCGCATGACCACGGGCTGTTTCGTCCTCCAGTCGTAGGGATATTTGTGCTTGTACTTTGCTGCCTGAAGAACATCGTCTTCAAGCAGGGCGAGAACGGCCTTGCTACCGCCCTTGAGGATCGAGGAGGCTTCAGTCAGCTTTTCTGGATCGTCTGGGAAAGCTTCACGGGTGAAGTTTCCTTCGTCATCAATAGGTGCGAAGGCATCGATGCCCAGTTGCGCGCAAGCCTCGTAGTCCTCGAAACCGTGACCAGGAGCAATGTGAACAAGTCCAGTTCCAGAATCTGCTGATACAAAGTCTGCATGGATGATTGGTTGCAGTGCAGAGTTGGCCCCTTGCAGCCTGTTCTTATACTGCAAGCCACGCAATTCGGAGCCCTTGATAGATGCCACGATGACCTGAGGCTCCTGTTCGGGGAAGAGAGCCTTGACGGCCTCAAGACGGCTGACTGCAGTGAGGTATGCGCTTCCATTAACGGCGATTATGGCATAGTCCAATTCTTCGTGAATGGCGATGGCTTTGTTCGCCGGGAGGGTCCAGGGGGTTGTCGTCCAGATAATGGCGTAGAGCTGGCCAGTAAAGCCGTCCAAGGAGGGGCCGCCATTGATTGGGTACTGAACGTAAGCTGCCGTCGAAACATGGTTCTCGTTGTACTCCAGCTCGGCCTCTGCCAGCGCGGTTCTCGACGAGGGCGACCAGTATACGGGCTTGCTTTTGCGGTAGATGAGGCCTCGCCGTACCATCTGCTTGAACAAGCGCAACTGCCTGACCTCGAAGTCGGGGTCCATTGTCGTCCATCGCGCATCCCAGTCGGCCATGACGCCGTACGAGCGGAAGCCCTCCATCTGCTCCAGGACGGTGGTAGAGGCCAACTGTCTCGCAGCCTTGCGGATCTCTACCGGGGTCATGCCCTTGCCGCCTGACGTGCCAACGGCCTTCATTTCGATAGGGAGGCCATGGCAATCCCAGCCCGGCCTGTAGCGTATGCGATATCCTACAAGACTGGCATTAGGCGACGGCATAGAAAGCGCATCCGGGGTATTATCGGACCTTGCTGGACCTTGACTCTGTTGATCATATCCTTGAGGATCTTGTTCAAGGCGTGACCGGCGTGAAGGCCACCATTTGCGTATGGGGGGCCATCGTGCAGAATGAACTCAGGTCTGGAGTCATTAGATGACTGCCACTTGTAGAAGTCGTCGGCGGATCGGCGGAGGTACTCGGGACGGAACTGCGAGAGCGGGCGCGGTCTAAGACGGTCCGGGCCACGGGTCAGCTGAGGACGGAGCCGATGGGGAGCGGTGGTAGCTGCACCAGAAGACCGGGAAAGCTTACGGGAATGTGGATTTAGGTAGCCTCAGTGTCGATGCCCATGACTTCGACATGATCGCTTTGTCAGCATCACTACGAAGGAGAGGAACAAAGTGTCGAACTGCGGTGCGGACTTTGAGGTTCGGCCATAGAAGGAGAAGTCGATAGCCGGATCTTCTGGACGCGGTACCGGAGCTGGACGACGCGATTCCGAGAAAATTTAAGTGGACCCTGGTTAATTGCCTGAGGTCACTGGCGGCAGCACACTCCAGTGTCGTGCTGCGTGCGGCGTGCAGTGGCCGCCCGGCGGGAGCAACTGCACGGGCACCGCTACTGCAGGACAGGGAGAATGCTACTGGTGGTACTTGCCGGCGCGGCTTCTCAAGTATACGTTCTTTGCTCACCCGTAAATGCACACGCTTGCAGCTAGGAAAGGTACTTCTGTGCAGGTGGGGGCGCTCTCATCCGACGTCACGACGTGCAGTCAGGGCAACCGTCACTCATCTACAGCTACTTCATCTTCGACATCAACCTCATCATAACCTTTCTTCTTAAAACTCCTGAGACCACCTGCCACCTTGAGTTCCATTCGGTTTCCGCGCACAACTCGACCACGTCGTATTAGGCATACGCCTCTCCAGAGACATACTTCTTCACGTCTCAGCCAGATACCACCTCGAATCCAGGCTTGAGTTCATGCTACGCGAGCCTCACTGCAACTGCGTCTCATAGGAAACAGCAACGATGGCCCCTCTACGCCGATATTTGAGGATCACAAAGTACTCTGTTCTCGAGTGTCGCATCTATCTAGACAATCCCGCATTGGCACAAAGCTGGCTTCTCAACCCTCGGAATCCCATCCTACCCAAGGTCATCGAGAGCGTCCGTCCATTGGTGTTACCAAAGTTACGTGAAGAGAAGGAGAGAGAAAGAGCAAAGAAGAAGAGCTCCAAAAAGAAGACTATCAAGGATGTTGTTGTCCAAGGTTTGTCGTCCTGTTTGGCAGCCTTACTCACTGTCACCACTTCCCTCAACCCAACCCAACCCTCGCCGTCGTAATCAGCCCGGTCCAGACCATTTCTCGAACCGAATAAAGTTGGCTGATCATGACATCTGCCAGACGAGTTTGAGGTCTCCATGTTTTTGACCGAGACAAGTACGCGCCATTCGCTGCTCACTAAGCACAAGCACTTCCGCGACAAAGCGCCCGGGAAGTTGCAGTCAAACTCCAACAAATTGATAAACGAAACGAATGACGTACCTATTGATCTGGACATGGAATCCGAGGCAGCCGCTGGTACGGTGCCTATTCGGCAGGAAAGTGAATCCGAGGATGACACTGCCGGCCTTTCCCGCATCCCCGCTGTCGATGAAACAGGCCGGCCTCGGCGATCAAAAAGACAGCGCGGAGAACCTCGCGATGATCAAGATGCCGACTACGCCACGACCTCGGACAATGATGCTGGCGCCGAGGCTTCGGCGATTGAGATAGACTCCGACGATGATGCTCCCCGGCCGTCCAAGCGTGTCAAGAAGCAAGAGACTGGGTCTGACCTGGAGGAAGACGGCGACGACAAGAAGAAGATGGCAATGGATGTCTCCTATGAAGGTTTCGCGATCTACGGCCGTGTGCTTTGCCTCGTTGTCAAGAAGCGCCAAGGTCTAAGATTAGCATCTTCGACTGCAGCAGGTGGTGCCAAGCAGCCTGCAGGTCAAGCCAGCATGGAGAACTGGATCAGCTCTACCCAGATGCCCAACCCTGGCGCCGAGGAGGACGCGCTATGAAGACCAGCCGCTAGGCAAGAATACCTTGGCCCTGCAAAACCGAGTACGTCAAGGGAGTGACTACACATCGTGGCGGAAGCTCATGCATTTCACCGGCATGAACAACCGATGACACGATGGCAGCTCACTTCGGATCAACTTTTGCAGATTTGACACCTCTGTCACTGTCATTTGTTGGGATGCTTCGTATAGTTTGGCCACCTTCGACCGATAATCGCGCTATTATTCACCCGTTGTTTCGTGTGTCTAGACTAGCCAAGTCTCTCTGCAATAGATGCGCAGCGTTAATGGGACACTCTCACCGCAACTCATCGAGATCTGGGGTACGAAGCAAGAATACGCGGCTGTTTCGAGAAAGCCCCGCTGGATGCCCACTACGAAAGCGAAAATGGTTCAAGAAATATTCACACTACACGTGTGACTGGGATATTGTGCAGGCCAAGCCTTGACGAAAGCTGGGGAAAGGCAAGGTCATCCTGAGCTCCGCCCTCGGACCGGCGGAAAGTCCGCCAAACGGGCCTTGTAGGGATATGTCGGCCTCCCACACCGGACTATAACACGCTTATAAACGCCGTCCTAATCACCGGGACAGTCCCGGATTGCCATAGCTCCAATACGGCATGGTGCCGAAGTGGCGATCCAGATGAGCCATGGGCAACAGTTGCTGAAGGCGTGCACGGTTGACGATGCTTACTTAGGCCAGCGACAAGTGAAACGAGCTCGACGGAAACCAAGATGGTTGGCACGTTGGCATACGCCAGCCCAGCTGGTTGGCTTCGGGCAACAGAGAGCATACGACGTTACGATTCAGTCCCAATGTCACGCCAAGGCCGCGCTAGCTTTGCAAAGTTCCCGACCTGCTGGAATCATGAACTTCTCCTGCCGCTTGCGCAGATTTCGTATTGTGTTTTTTTTTTAACCGCCCCCTCTTCTTGTCTGTCGCGGATTCCTCTTGGCGCCGTATATGCCTCTACAATTCCGACGATCGTAACGATCGTAACGAAATCGGCCACGAGGTCCCCCAAGGCGAAAGGGAACCCTAGTCTAGGCTTCAAGTTTGAGGAGGCTGTATGTAGCGGTGGCCGCGGAAACGAAGCTGAGTTATCGGCCGAGGCAGCCGTATCTAGAGGCGATCAAGGGCACCGTAGCTTCCAAGCGCATGACACATGACAATAAGCGCAGGCGACTGTGACATTCAACTCTCTCCGGGAAAGGCAGACAGGGCAAATTTCCAATCGGGAAACGCTATCAAGGATGCTACTTGCTGTTACTTCCTGGATGAGCAACATTGATGCCAAACTCGTCAAACACGCGATGGGAGGCTGATCTCACATTCGTACCAAAATACACAGCTAGAGAAGATACATCTCGACCAAGTACCGAAAGACATCTGCCTGTGAAGCTTCGATTCCCCACCCTTGATGCTGCTTACGGTCGTGGGATAGGTACTCGGTCGAATTGCTGCTGCACACCATCAACTCAAGAGACCCGGTGGCTAAGAGTCACGATAATGACAGCCTAACCTAGTTAATTCGCCTGATCACAAATCAGCGTCGGCTTACTGACAGGCAGAGTCACGCTAGCTTCCCGTCTAACCCGCCCAGCACGGACTCGTGGTCGGACGATTTGACGAGAGACTCTGACGACATGATTGGAGATGTCGGACGGCGGAGTGGCTGCAGAGCTGTCTCTGATCCTTGCCGCTGTACAGCCGGATCGCTAACTCTTAGCAGAACGGAAGTGGCTTACACGGCAGCTCTCTCATGGACAAACATCATGGATAATGATAAGCCTTGCAGCTTTCAACCTCGCTGCGCTGCACAGCATATGCGGCATCGATAAGAAGAGGGCATCTTTGCTGCTTACCCCGCCTAAGCTGACAGTTTAGAATTGATTGCATCTGGATGGTGTCAGCGAGGCACAGCGAATCCTCACCGTCAAAAATGCAACCCCCCAGCCTTGAGTCCACATGACCACGCGCTGCCATGGGTCGACGGCAGGATGAGGGTGTGGACGATCGTTGGAGTGGTGATGGCACAGCACCCGGTCTATCGGGCCATGGGCGTACCAGAAAACGAAGCCGAGGAAACAGTGAACTTGCGATTTAGCCTCCTCCCAAAGCGTCAACCTGCATCGCCTACTGGCCGATCAACCGTTTCTCCCCCCACCAAGCCGGTTGATGTTCACTACCCGTACGGATAGGGCAGCAGAGAATAGTGTAACTGTACGAACCCAACGTTGACGGCCCTTGTCAAGGGACCGGACGAAACTGTCCAGAGTCCGTAAAGCGTCTGCCCTCTGTACCGTTTAAACGGGACGTGCGGGCATTTTGACGCAAACCGAGTTCTGGGTTTGCGCGTCTCAGAGGCACCCTTGACGCAAGGGTATCATCACCCGGAGTTAGGGAACGGCAACCTTCTCGACGTTTTTCCCTCCTAAATGAAGCGAGAGTCGGTCATACAAACCTCTTTCTCCCCCGGGTTACCTCTTTTCGACATGCTCGGCCGACGGACTTTCTGGGCAGCGGGGGGGTTTGCGGCGGGTCGCGGAGGTGGGTCACCATGACGGCGACTACGGCGGCATCGTATGGGGTAGGGGAAAAGCCAGCTCTGAGCTGAGTCCTTATCACGGAGAATGAACCTAGCGACCTCCGTCCGTTGAAGACCTCTTCTGGTAAGTCCGGCACATTGAACCCCATAACGTTTAAGTGCCCCCGCGATTTTGTCCCTTGCTGCGGGCGGCGATAAATTGAAATAGCTTCAAGGGGCCGTGTGAGATGTCTCGGGAAGCGAGAGACCAAGGCGAATAGTACAGTAATACAACTGAGGCCTTCTCAGAATCCGTCGCCAATTTTCCCCTTGTACCTGCAGTAGCGGTCGTTGATCTGTTTGGGACGGGAAGCTGTTCTATTGGAACTACTACGAAGCAACGACACCAACAGCAAGACCAGCGAAAGCTCAGCTGACCAGTGATGGGCTGTGCCGGGCCAACATCAATCAGGCTTCGACTGTGCGTTCTTGGCTCGCGAACTATCTGTAATTCGCACCCCGTCTCTGCTGAAGCCTGATGAGCAAGAAGCCTGCAGCAGCCAGGCCAGGTGTGACCAACTGAGCTGCCGCCGTCGCACCGCCCATCACACCTGAGCTTGGGGGGTCCGGGCGTACACTTCAGCAGCAGCAGCAGCCAGCGGCTCGCTCGCTCGATGAGATCCCTGTTCGAAGGTGCCCAAGGTGTGGTGTGATCGTCAGGGGTTGGTTGTTGCCCGTCAGCCGGCCCCTTGCTCAACACCACGTGGGAAATACGGTGAAGTGAGCCAACAGAGCGGACGCCTCTGTGCTTCCCGAGCTCTTTGGGGGGCCACTTTGTCATCATTCTTTGGGGGTAGGGGAGGAGA